TCTCTCTCTCTCTCTCTCTCTCTCTCTCTCTCTCTCTCTCTCTCTCTCTCTCTCTCTCTCTCTCTCACGACCCAGAATCAGATCTGACATCAAGGTTTCCTAAGATTGCCAATGGCAATTCACACACACAACCAACGACTATTTCATACTTCCTTAAGGTGCTCTGTCGAACACCGATAACTATGGATTGATTCGATGTTTAACTGCTATTTGTCAACCCAAGAAGGAGGTCCTTCTCAGAAGGAAAATGGTAGACACACCCGTTGTAGGGGTACTGACGGGTTGTGAGTTCAACTTGCCAATTGTCATGCACCAGGATGGGTGTTCCGCCCGACCACAGTTGACGGGTTCAGTCCATGAACTTGCAAGGTGTCGGGCGCCGGACCCCCTGACCTTTTATGGAACACAGGGACCACATAGTACAGTAACCCGAAAAAATGTCGTACAGATAGCCCTGCCCTTTTAGATTATGTGATGTGTATCATAGTGATTGTCGCTCCTTATACCTAGGCAGTACAACATTGTCAAGATGTCATACAAAGAGCCCCTACCGTTTTATGTTATGCAGTGTCGTTCCTCATACCTACCCAGGACAGAATGCAAACCCATTTTATACACTTAGGTGTTAATTCGCATTTAATAATGACTGTTCATGTACGAAGGGCTCAAAACGGACCACCACAACATTTACCGCATCAACACCTCATATACTGACCATTTATCCTCCTTTTAAGTATCGCATAATGCCCTATTGGCCTATGTACAGAGTATTCATTCACATTCGAAATAGTTCACTTTTTGATAAAAAAATCATTTTTCACAAAATGTGTATTATAATAAGACCTTCGATAATAAGGTTTATCTTCATAGACTTTTTGTTTTGATGATTCCCTCTCTTGCTTTTTGAAATCGCATGAGACTTTGAGTAACCCCGTGTGTGGTTGTTTCCCTTGCGAATGATGCATGTTGTGTCGCAACCTTTGCACGAAATTAATGCTTGTTCTTCAAGTTTTGGCTTTCGATGACCATGTGGAATCACGGATAAATTCATGTTTTCCCTATCGATTTCTCCCCCCTTTGCGCGTTGATGATGCAATAGAATATAGATAACCCTCGGTTGACTGATTACCCGCACTCCTTGCAGAGCTAGTTGCAGTAGGGAAATACTATAGAAAATGTTATTCACTTACGCAACCCCTTGCGCAGTACAAGGGTACGTACATTTTCTAAAAATTCCATAAGGTGTATGCCTGCTAATTTGCATCAAGTAGGCGTCTCCGAACAAGACGTAGGATGTGATCGCTTTCTCTATTTTTTCGATTCCTCTGTTTTCTGATATCGCAACGAGGCGCACGAAAGGACTTATCGTCAGAAGATAGCCTGATGACAAGTCCCCTGCTGCCAGATCCAGTCTGGATTTTTGAGTTTTTTTTGAAAAAAAAAGGATATATATATTTATATATATATATATATTTTTATATATATATATATATATTTCTAACACTTTGTGATGCTCCCTACCTGCAACCCCTCGTTAGTCTCTTTCTGTCTTTCTTTGGAAAAGGCTCGCAACTCTATATTAGAAAAGATACTTCTCTTGGGAGCTCAATTAAAAAAAAAAAAAACTGGCTAATAGTTCCCGGAACTGCGTAAATGGAGCCAAGGATGAGCCCCCCATCTGGGAATAAAAAGGAGATCCACATCCCTTTATAAAATTTTATTCCTGCCAGAGTTCGGTAATGTGCCGGTTGAATCAATGTCGGAGCTCAGCTTCGCACATAATTACGTGTCCTGGCGTGCGTATGAGTACACAACCAAAACACACTATCTACACACATACCACACACATACTATGCACAGTGTACATGCAAACAGTCTAGTTTCCACACACGCGTGCACACACACATAGACACGCACACAAGTGCACACACACACAAACTCTATCCACGCACACACACACACNCACACACACACACACACACACACACACACACACACACACACACACACACACACACACACACACACACAAGGACAATCAATCAATCAATCAATCAACATTCGGTCCAATCAATGGATTGGATTGGATCTTGAAAATCAATCAATCAATTAATCAATCAATCAATCAATCAATCAATCAATCTACCAACATTTGATCCAATCAATGGATTGGATTGGATCTTGAACATCTGGTTTTCAAAATCCAATTCAATCCATTGATTGGATCGAATGTTGATTGATTGATTGATTGATTGATTGATTGAAGGGGAAAAAAAACGGGGAGGGGAGTATACACGACGACATACATGGCGATGGCGAGAAGGTGATGCGGGGACTTGGGGGGGTAGGGATGGCGACATGGTCGCAGATGGGATGAGGAGAACGAGGAGGAGGAAGAAGATGAGGAGAAGAAGGAGGAGGAGGGGGAGCAGAAGGAAGTGGACAGAAAGGAGGAGAAGGAGGAGGAAGAGATGGAGGGAAAGGAGGAGGAGGCGGCGAGAGACAAGAGAGACATGAAGGAGGAGGAAGGAGGAGGGTATGCACCTGCAAAGGGGTTGGAGCATGTGGTGGGTCGTGGCCGTTGGCGAGTGATTTCGGCATCGCCCAACTGCTAGAATGTGCCGAAGTCATGCGCTGGTAGACAGAGGTGAAGCGCTGATTTCAAATTTGAATTTGGCCCCATCTGGGTTGAGTTTTTTTCGGTTTCGTTTTCGGAGGCCCTACGGGCCTCACTAAAATCGGCCAAATGGAAGGGGGGTACTACGAACCCCAAGAGGCATCACCGCAGCGCGGAAAACCCCGTCGGACGCACAGACTATTTTCCCACCAGCCTGGACATTGGACCCCGTTCGGACAATCGGGGGAGTTGTCCGATCGGACAACCCAGGATAGAAAAGGGTTCAGGTCGTCCTGGCGGTAACCTATGTGAAATCCAAAAACAAAACACTCATTTCATTTTTTGTTTTTTTTTCTTTATTGTATTTATGTTTTTGATTTTTAAAAAATATATTCAAACATCAAAAAATAAAAATGAAAATATAGGGTTGTAGTCTTCAAAAATACCTACAACCAATATATTTTTTTATTTTTTTTCCGATTATGTTTAGCCCAAGAAACAAATAACTGCGTACCCCGTTTTTACCCATCCAACAGGCGTTTCAACGGGGATTCAATGCGGATTCAACGTGGATTCAATGCACGTTGAATCTAAAATCGGACACATAGGTTCCTGATTGTGGTCAAGACGGCAGGACAAGGCATCCGTGACGTGGTTCGTTTCACCCTTGATACGCTGAGCGGGGAAATTGAACTCGAATAAATTACGTCACAATTGTGTCTGTCAAGGAGAAAGTTAAGGCTTCGTGAGGAACGCCTAGATAATTGAGTTGTCCATGTGCATCGTGAAGGGTGACTCATGCAGATAATGACAATAATGTCGGTAAAATAAAGTACTGTGAGAACCTCACATTCATTGACAGTGTTATTTATTTCGACAAGCAATAGATGACGGGAGTAGAAGGGTGATCGGACAATCCCCAGCACGAGTCCCGACGACCCATCCTCCACGATCGTTGGGGAGTAAGTGACGGGAGGACTGTTAGTGGAGGGAAGTGGTGGACAGATAAGTGTCAGTCGAGCAACAGAGTTGGCATGTGGGGGAGGATATAAGGAACATGGGGATAAGACGAATAAAGAGGAGTGGATAACATCTGAGAAAGTACAACTCTTATTGCAAAATCTGACATATCGGTGGTGACTATGAAGGGATGATCAAAATCGGGGAGGCGAAAAACCGACGCACAATTCATCGCCTTCTTGAAGGCTCAAAAAATATACTCGAAGAGAGGTGTCTAAAACCATGGCGGATTCTTCCGGAGGAGGGTGGAGGTAAGGACGTAGTAGGAATAACTAGCATATCCCCGAATGAAATTACTATAGTAACTAGTAAGGCCCAGGAAACTGCGAAGCTGCTTGACGAATGTGGGGATGGGCTACGTTGCGATAGCGGTGATCTTCACGTCGTCCATGTGGAGACCTTGGTCAGCCATATAGTGCCCTAGAAATTCAACTTTGGCAAAGCGACACTTACGGGTTTTGGCATATAAGTCATGCTTGCGTAAGCATTGTAGGACATTGTGGAGGTGTCTTAGATGATCTGCTAAGGGACGACTATAGACCTAGATGTCGTCCAGGTATACGAGAACGTATTCTTTAAAAATATCCCTGAACATATCGTTCATCGGCGTTTGGAAGGTGGCGGGTGCATTGGTGAGGTCGAATGGCATCACTGTAAACTCGGAGTGACCAAAGCGTGATCGGAAGGCGGTCCTTGGCTGGTCCTCTGCGGCAACGTGGATCTAGTGGTAACCACTACAAAGATCGATCTTCGTGAAGAAGCGGTTATCTAACAGACGGTCAAACAACTCATTCGCGCAAGGTATGTGATAGGTGTTCTTAATCGTGTAACGGTTAAGGTTACGATAATCAATGAAGAGACGGAGGGTTCCAACCACTTTGGAAGCAAACTTGAAGAGGACGGATGCACCCAGGGGGACTTACTAGGTTCACTGAAACCCAGTCAAAGGAGCTCCTCAAGTTGACGCTTGAGTTCCGTTGCCTTTAGAAAGCGAGAATCGGTAGGGTATCTGATGGTCGACACGATAGTCAGACACGAGTTTGATAAAATGCTTAACACCGCGCATTGAATGAATTTTGTTGTACAGTGTCGTCCTCCGTATGTTGTACGGGGGGTCTTCGCACGGCCTGTGTGTACGGACGGATGGGCGGCCGTCGGGCGTACGGACGGTCTCTGTCTGAACGTGCCAGGGTTCGGTGTGGGGGAGAGGGGGGGGTTTGACCCCCAGGTGTGGTAAGGGGGGTTCCGAGGTTCACTTTAGTATTTTTTTTTTTAATTAAGAAAATTTTTTGTTGTGGAAAAAAAAAAAAAAAAAAAAGCAAAACCGAATGAATCTAGTAATCTACCACCAGAACATGAAAATATACATTGTCACACTTGTTTTTGTTTGTGTGTGTGTATATATGTGTGTGTGTGTGTGTGTCCATGTGTATGTGTGTGTGTGTGTGTGAGTGTATGTGTGTGTGTGTGTTTGCGGGGGGAAGGCGACCCCCCCACTGATAATCAATCAATCAACCAAT